GGTATAGGTACGTGAAAGTTTTAGCGCGAAAATTACTCACCCGGGAGCGGGAGAAGCTAGAAAGTTGAAACTTTCGGGGGATGTTTCCTACTCATGTTCCCCGCCCACGTGTGACTTCGCAGATTTAAATTCAGCCTTCCATGCCTGCGGGTGACGCTCACGGTTCCGTAAGTTTTGGCAGGGAAAATTATCTCGGGAACCATGGAATCTAGGAAACTGAAATTTTGTGGGTGTGTTCTCTGCCCAATTGTGACCCAAAAAATTTAAATCCAGCCTTCCCATGTCTGCAGGTAACAAGTACGACCGCGTGGAAATTTTTACCGGGAAAATACTATCTCGGGAATCACGGAATCTAGGAAGCCGAAATTTTAGAGGACTGTTCCCTACCCACGAACGACCCCTCAAATTTTAGCCTTCCCGTGCACGCGGGTAACACGCCTACCAACGTACGATCCCGCAAATTTGGATTCAGCCCTCACGGATTCAGCCCCCAGGATACCACGTACGGCTTAGCGAAAGTTTTAGCAGGGAAATTATTATTTCGTGAACTGAAAAAGTTAGAATGCTGAAATTTTACGGTAATGTCTCCAGCCCAAGTACAACCCCGCAAGTTTCAATTCAGCTTTTCCTATACCTGAGCATTACGCACGACTGCGTGAAAGTCTTGGCGAGGTAAAGTATTATCTCGGGGATCAAGAAAGCTAGGTAGCTGAAATTTTAGCGTAACGTCCCCTGCTCACGTAATACTCCGCAAATCCTCGACACCCTGTGAAAGCTTTGACGGGAAAATTCATTATCTCGAGATCTAGGAGGCTGAAAATTTCAGGAGGATGTTTCCTGCCTAAGCAAGGACTTCACAAACACAAATTCAGTTCCTAAGTTTGCTGACGTCTCACGTATGACCACGCAAAAGTTTTGTCGCAGAAATCACTCAAAAGTCAGAAAATCAGAAGACTGAAATTTTGGAAGGATATTCAAGCTTCGAGGTTTCGAATTCAGCTTTCACGCAGCGGTGCATGAAATTTTTTGTAGGAAATTTCCTGATTTAGAAACCAGACAATACTTCAACTATTTTTGCACAGACCAAAGTGCAACGCAGTGAAAATCCTTAGCAGGCAAACGTACGCTGGATGGAACTGTACAAGAAGCATGATCACACCGGCTGACCGGCTGCACTGATGCGCGCCGCTATTTATTTTTTTCTGATTGCACGTTTCTGTTGCAGCATGCTAAGGACGTCCTAAACTTGTGGGACACTTGCGCATTCAGTATCGCTGTATTTGAAGGAATGACAAACCGCTATTAACTTTCCAGCCGTAAAAGGCTTCTCAAGTGCTCCTTTGGGAAGGTCGTTAGGCTAGTAATCCGCTCAAGAGATGTGACAGACGCCGGGATCGTCAGAACTCACCAAGCAGTGCAGCACTAGTTGGAGCAGTCGACCGATTGCTAGCCACATAGCCGGAAAAAACAGGCTGTGAATTACAGTCAAACCAAACATACGACGAAGTCAGTTTAACTCTGCATGATGATATACCAGTTCGCTATGATTTCAGAATTCCAAGTACTTGTAAACACTTTCACTCGCGAGGCTTCGCCACCAATTGGTGAGCCTCAACCGGTCCGTTTCAAGTTTCTTTCGCTAGCCACGAGTGTTTCTCAGTGCGTAGTGAGATCGCACCTTCATGTCACTTATCGTTTTCTTTAAGTCTGTTCTGCCGTTGATAGGATTTTCTTAATAATACAAATGAATGCTCCGAGCAATCTAATTTGCTAAAAGGTTTTGCAGTGATTCGAGGTAAGATTTTATTCCGAAGTATTTGCATTCGACATTGCAAAAGATGGCTAAGAGGTGGGAATTTCGCCGTAAATTACTGTCCATTCCTGCAGATGCGTGTCTGCTCCGATCTGGACAGCTTTCAAAATAACTGGCCAACGCACGTGCTGCCCGTGCGAAGATGCGCTTTTTGCATAGCTCCCTGCAGATTTTTGTCGCCAACGGCATTGGTTTTTCTGGCAGATGCTTCCAGATAAAAAAATTTCAGACTGGCCGCCAGGACTGTCAGGAAACATCTCTTCAAAATCCCAGTTTTCTAGCTTCTTACTTCTCTGAATTAGCAACTTACCCGGAAGAAACTTTCAAGGGCCCGTACGTAGGTACCACGCTTACCCGGGGGCTGGGTTTGAGCCCACTAATACCCGGTTAACATTATCCCAAGATTTCAGCGTTCTAGCTTCTCAGATCCTAGAGTTATGAACTGACCCTAAAAAAACTTTGGCGGGTCCGTACGCGGGTACCACGCGGGTGTTGGCACCCATTTTGGAGGTTGGGGCCGGCACGTGCATGTAGATTAAGTTCTCGAAACTTCAGCCCCGCAGCTTTTATAGGTCTTGAGATGAAGGTGCGTGACAGACGCACACACAGACACACGGACACACAGACAACCCCTCGTCACCATGCGTTTTCTGCATTGCATAGCTGCAAAAAACGCATAAAAAGACACCTAATGGAGGAGCAATCGAAACATTCCATTTATATAAGAGAAAAGATCCAAATACGCTCTCACCGGAAATTGGAGCCAAATAAGCCGTGATTGGATACTGGAAAGTTCGGAAAGCAGCTCTGCCTTCTGAAGCAATCTCGGAATCTGGCCTCAGTTGAACAGTGTGTGGATCTTCGGTTACAGAGTCCGTTCGCATCGCATTGTTTTCGCTTAGTACAAAAGCTGCCGCATCAATTCGTTGTCCCGGTTGCTAGAAAAAACTAAATTTGAGCTACAGCAGCAAATACACCCCTTTTCGCAATTATAATTTCATAGATGCTTACTGCATTTATAGCGGCTTCAAGCGTAGAATCATCAGATGATAAATTTGCAGTGATCCGCATCGACCCAGCAGCACTCGCCGACGAAGCATTGCCAGCAGCACGCGCGGCCGCGTTCGAAGCACGAGCTAAAAATGGCCCCTACTGAATGAACTGTGTAAGGGATGATAAACCGAGCAAACTATACAAATTACCTTAAAATCCCTTCCAGCCGGCAAGGCACTAAATGATGTTCTAGAAGTGGCAACGTTCCAGAGAAAGTAATTATGTTCAACACACACCGCCAGTGCCAAGTGCTCCTTACGGGGAAATTACTGAGTTACCAATTTCTTCAGGAAAAGAAACGAAAGTCAGAATCGTCAGTATGCTAAACAGAGGGCGACGCAGCATTGAATGAAAATTAATTGCACAGGTGAAAACTTGATTATAAATTACAACTAATACAACTATTCTGAAATCCGGGCCACTTTCGCACTTACACGTAATAAAGTTAACACTCAGTAATAAGGTAATGCAGCCGAATAAGGTAATTTCAAAAGGAAGCCCGAGAGAGAGATCTTATAAGAATAACATGCAATGAATTCAAATGATTCTTCTCGGTACATCGTCGACAGTTCTATCACGAAAAAAGCCTTCACGTAGCGAAGATAACATTTAAAGCAAAACTTTTCAATGAATGCCAATGATGAGATAAGACTTTCGGAAAAATTACGCCGCAAATCGTCTTAACAGTTTTAATCTTTCCCATAAAGTCCCGCAGCTGAAGGATGCGGCTTAGTGCACAAGTGAATTAGTGAGAAATACACCGGAAAGCGAAAATGACGATAGTGTATTAGAATCAGAGACAGCCAAAGTGATCCCGTTTCACCTATGGCTATAATGGCTTAACTCGACAAGTGCCATCAGGATGGTCAGCTGTACACTAATAATAAACTACTCCGTTTATCTATGCTTTAATGAAAGTAAGGCCTTGGGTATCCAAAAAATGAGCAAGCTGCGAAAGGTCCCGGATTGAGTCTAAAAGTCAATACGGTAAAAAACATAAATGATGCACGGTGCTGTGGAAGAGGGTTACTTTAAAGACATCGGTAGCAAATGGTGCAAGCATTCAGGCAAAGAATCGAACAAATATTGTATGAAATATTAGTGGCATTCCACTGGATCTTCAAAAATTAATGCACCACCATTGGAAGCAGAACAAGCAGCAGAGAAAGAAATTAATTCCGTAAAATCTATCCAGCATATTATGTTCTATGAAGAGGCAAAAACTTATAGACGATTTTTTTAATCTATTCATTACCCCGCCTCACAGCACAATTTATAAATGTTGCACTTATCTGGCAGACCATTAGTTTAACAGTGCTAAATAATTGGCCAACGCACGGGCTGCCCGTGCGAAGATGCGTTTTTTGCACAGCCCTCCGCAGATTTTTGTCGCTAACGGTACTGGTTTTCCGGCAGATACTTCTAGCTAAAAGAATTTCAGGCTGACCGCCAGAACTGTCAGGAAACATCCCTTCAAAATTCCAGTCTTCTAGTTTCTCATGTTCTCGAGTTAGCAACTTACCCGGAAAAAACTTTCATGGGCCCGTACGTAGGTACCACGCTTACCCGCGGGCAGGGTTTGAACTCATTAATACCCACTTGGACAGGGAACATCCTCCTAAGATTTCAGCGTTCTAGCTTCTCAGATCCCTGAGTTATGAACTCACGCGAAAAAAATTTTGGCGGGCCCGTACCCGAACATCACGCTTACCCGGGGGATGGGTTTCAGTGCATTAACACACACTTGGACGGGGAACATCACCCCAAAATTTCAGTGTTCTGGCTTCCCAGATCCCCGAGTTATGAACTTGCCTCAAAAAAATTTTGACGGGCCCGTACGCGGGTACCACGAGGGTGATGGCGCCATTTTGGGGACTGGGCCGCCACGTGCATATAAATTAAGTACCCGAAATTTCAGCCGTGCAGCTTTTATAGGCTTTGAGATGAAAGTGCGTGACAGACGCACACACAGACAACCCCTCGTCAATATGCGTTTTTGCATTGCACAGCTGCAAAAAACGCATAAAAAGTGAGCTTATTTTATACCAAGTTCCAATCTTTAACGACCGGTTATTCAAATGCTAGTGTCTGCAAGAACTGGATGTTTCCTCACACTGTTATTCTAAGAAAAATAAATAGCAACGCGCACTAGACTAGTCGGTGCAATCATGCGTTTTGTGAAATTCCGCTCACCGAACGATTGCCTCTTAATGATTCTCACTGCTTTGTACTTTGGTCTGTGCAAAAATAGTTGAAAAGTTGAAAAATAGTTAAAAATTTCACGCAACGGCGCAAGAAAGCTGAATTCGATACCCTGAACAGTGAATATCCTTCCGTGATTCCCGGGATAATAGTTTACCCGCCAAAATTTTCAAGAGGCCGTAAATGATACCCGAGAGCGCAGGAACGCTGAATATGTAAGGTCGTACGTGGGCGAAGGGTCATTACCCAAAATTTCAGCTTTGCAGACTTTGTGGTTCCCGAGATACTAATTTACCCGCAAAAACTTTCACGGGGCCGTATATGTCAAACGCGGGCAGGGAAAAGCTGAATTTAAATTTTCTGGGTAGCACATGAGCGGAGGACATGCCCACAAAATTTCAGCCGTCTAGCTTTTGTGGTTCCCGAGTTGAAAGTGCGGGACAAAATGTGGGACACACAAAAACACACAGAGACAACCCCGCGACAATATGCGTTTTGTAATGCTGTTACGCAGCACAAAACGCATAAAAAACTGAAAGTTACTGGGTGAAACATACTGCTTGCATTGCTAACAACGAACAGATGGCACATACTAGTAAGTGGCATTACAGAGAACGAAAACAGAGGGGTAGTAGTCGTGATGAAAGCTGAATCAGCAACTGCAGGGATATAGCTGCGAGGTATAACGGCCTGAATCGTCGGTTGCGCATACGCCCAGGCCATAAGAAGATTTAAGTGCAATTAATTTGTAATGACGAATGATTACCAGCAAGAGTGTGCTGCACAATCGAGCGTCTGATAAGACGATCGACGTTGCTGATACCAGTCGACTGGCTGAAACTACGTATATCTCTCAACTGTGTGCAAATCCGCTGCACTGTTATGAAGAATTATGAAGAATGAATGAAAAGTTTTGTGTTCGGAAGCAGCTGCTACCTGTTAATTGGTGGTACAGTGGCTGGCTCATTCTGCATGTGCTGTTCACGCATGTGTCCCGCTATGTCCATGATATGGCCCGGAATGTAGTCGCCGAGACCAATGCGAAGAAAATCGGTGCAAATGCAAATTGGGCATGCCTGAAAAATGCTGCAGTGAGACTTCTGCAACCCTTCGTGGCAAAACAGTAGACAAAATATGAATATTACCGGCTTGTAACATGGTAGAGATGACTCAAGCGGGTGCGATCATCCTTTTTGCGAAAGGCAAACAGTTCGTTAACAGCATAAATAATTGCAGATTTTACAATTTAACATGTACATTCACGTTGGCAATGTTTTGCCTTCCCATGAAGGTAGGGGAAAGGGGCGTCGACTGGAACAGTACTACTGCATTAAGAAGCCGCGCAAAATCTTAACCTCCAGCATGCATGATTATCGCAAATTTTGCATGAGGAGAAATCAATGATTCTCGGTGATCGGTCGTTCACGGACAGTGAACAGAATGTCGAGAGAAAAAAGGATGATGAAGCCGGAGAAAGAGAAAGTTTCCCGTCGAAATCTGAGGAAATATTCCTGAAACTTGAGCTTTTAACCCTTCTGATTCCCTAGTTAGTAGTTCTGTTATACGCCCGAACGTGAAACTCAGGAGCGCTTGAAAGCTGATATCACGTCCGTCTGATCGCAACTGGACAAGGAACTCACTGGCCAAACTTCAGCACCTAAAAGCCGTCTAGCTGCCGAACTGAAATACTCGGACAAACACACACACAAACAAACCATAGGGTATACTCTTTAACATCATTTCGGATTACTGCGCTCATGACAGCAGAGGAAAATTTGTTGTGGCTCTTTCTTTCGAGCGACGCTTGCAAGCAAGCTGTTGGCGAATTTGACTTCCTGGTGCGGTCATCACAACATGGGTTTTTGCAGACTGCTTCAGCAGTGCAATGTAAAATACAACAAAAAAAAAGTGTAAAAACTGGCCATTTCAACTTGGAAACCGGATGGTTCAGAATGATTTTCCACGATATGCGCGATAAGATTTTCACGTGCAAAGCCAATATGACCGCATACCGGGCACGTAAAAATCACAGCTCGAAGGCGACTGTAGTCCTTTTCGGGATCACCGTGATATATGATTTCTGAATTTTATGCTAACAGTGAGCGATACGAACAGATGAAAAAGTCACGAGTAGAACGAATCTACTAAACTAATCTTCATGCTCACCCATTTTCTTCTTCGCACTAAGTTAGCTCATTACACAATTCGTTCTCTTTGTCCCTTCTGTTAATCACAAACTAAATTCTACAGGTTCCAACTACTCGGAAATAAGAATTATAGGTAAGAATAAAGAACAGTACCCAATCTCACTGTCTGTTCTTGTGCATGCGCCCCCGCCATTAACGAGACAGCGAACAAGTGCTCTATCCAAAAGTAAACCCACTGCCTAACTAATGAGAAAAAGAATCCAAAAAATCGAGTTACAGCTAAAATTTGACAGCACATATCAAAAAGAGAGAGAGGAAAAAAAATAGTAGAATTGAAAATATTAACTACACCCTACTCTGAACAAATAACATGAAAAATGTGTCTGTTGTCTTCTGCTGATGGGAGCTGGGCGTAGCATGAGTACTTGGTTAATAGTATCAGTCAAAGTAAATCAAGCACATAGTGTTTTCCGTCTCGCTGAACCCAGGACAGTAAGTCAGCAGTTTCGCTTCTCCGGCTCAGGAATGATGGCGACAAAAAAAGAAACCAAAGTCATGTTGTGTTAGGATGCACTGCATTGGATGCCGATGCGAATGCTGATCGTTTGATTCGGGTATTTCGGCGCTCTCGCTTACAGGCCCCTCGTTTGACAGCTTCTTCTGCTCCTCCTTATAACAGTGCTCGCAAAGATCGTAGTCATAACATCGAAGGCATTTGAAGCGATCGCCGGAGAAATTCTGAGCCATGCAACCATCGCACGAAACACCTGCAAAACAGAAAATTATCGTACATCCACTTCAGACAACGAATGTGACACAAATGCAAAAGCGAGTAGGGGAGACTTCAGGACTATCCACTGCTCACATCCCACAGCAACCTTCCACATAATGGCCTCACTTACTTCACTGGTAGCCATTCAAACAGGAAAGGCAGAGGCTGGAAAGGGGGGAGAGGGGATGAAGGTGAGGGGAAGAGGAGGGGAGAAAGAAGAAGGGTAGAAGCGGCAGGCCGGGGGAGGGGTGGAAGTGCGGAGAGGAAGAAGAGGGAAGGGAGGATCCAAAATGCATATGCATTTCCTGTAGCTGTCGGTATCGTTACCCTGGTCTGCTGCAGAAAGCATTTTTCTTCTGCGCATCACAGGAGGTACTGGATGCCCGGAAACAAAGCCAAAACCGCTTGGGGAGGAGGGGAAACAACAAACCAGAGGTCAACGACTAAATCCGGATCGACTGCGAAGTCGCAACAAATTTTACCATGGAAACATGCGAACTTCTGCCAAGAAGCAGTAAAATCAGATCTGAAGTACAGGGCGGCAAAGCGGACCGCACTCAGAAAGCTCAATCTCGCGTTAATTTGCTGAGGGAATGTTGCATAAAGCAGTTGCAGGAGCACACGGACCACCCCCGTCATCGACGCCAAAAAAAAAAAATACGCTGCCCCGTCCCTCCCTCGCTTGCCGGAAGTATTCTGACACGTAAAAGCATCGCCTGGGCCCAGGTGCTACAACATATGCGCGAAACAATACCGCAGTACGAGAGGAGAATGAGTGCTGAGTTGCAGTGCACACGAGATCAACAGAATCCACAGCACAGGGGCGAACTGTACAGCATGCGCAAAGCCTTTCAGGACAAACGCTTTTCGCGAAACCCCAAAAGCCATGACGGACAGGAACGGAAGGGGGAGCAGGGAGCTACCAACAAAGGGCAGTGAGAAACGAACGTGAACTGACCTTCATGATATGTGGACATTGCTCCAAGCTGCGCACGCCCACGACGATAACCGCGAAAGGGAGAAGCAGCCACTTCAGCACGCTGCGCCCTCGTCTCTGCTGAATCCAACCAATAAATACCTTCCGGCCCGACCATGAACGGGGCAACCAGGAGATTCGCGGTGAGATACATTTTTCCTGAAACAATCGCGCCGCACCTGTTTTAGCAATGAAATCACAAGCCTGCCGTATGGAGTAGTCGGCGCCACGGCCCACCATACTACCAGCCGCCCTCCCCATCGCAGCACTCACAGCTGAGGACAGCTGCGAGATTTGGCAAGGGAACGGCTGCAGCAGTGGTATGTGCGCGCGCGCGGCTTCCGTGAAGTATGAAAAGGCAGGACATTCCCTCAGCCGTCCTCCTTTCGTGCCTGTTCCGCTTGAGTATGGTCCTTTCCAAAGCGCAGGCACGGGATTCATTCTCCTCCATGGGAGGGGCTGCATTTCTAACGCTGTTCTTGCCATCTCCTTTGCGACCAAAACCTGGCAGCCCTGGCCCCTTCTGGAACCATTTTATATGCGCCATGTTGAGCGGGAAAGCGGGGGTGCCATTTTGAACGTGGAAGGAGGCACTCGGGCAGGAGAGACGCCACCATGGGCAGGGACGATTTCAAGCCTCGTTCTGAGCAGTGGGAGCCAGCCTACAGTGATTTCGAGCACAGAGTGTCGATATATTCTCCAATTTGAAAAGGGAGCGGCGAACCGTTTTGGACAAGGGAGAGGAATGATGTGACGCTGGACGACATTCTGAGCAAGAATTACGTGACCTTGGACAAAGTTCCCAGCAAAAAAGGCGCCAATTTTAGCAGCAGCAGCGCCATTCCAGAGAGCGGAAGCGCCGGTGCGAGCCGGTAGGCGCTACACAGTGTGAAGGACGACATCCAGAAGATGCCAAGGGATGCACAGAAGGCGCCGTCCCGGCGAGAGGAACGCCATTCTCAACATGCAAACAGTCATTTTGAACAGTGAAAACAGCACTCTGGACAAGGAAACGCCATCTTGAGCGAGAGACGCTAGGCGCTTCTGCCATGAGACTCGCCATCCCGAACAGGCGCGCCGCCGATGCGTGTGGACAAGGTTACTGCGGGTGGGGGGCACAGTTCGAGCAGCAGCAGCAAATAGAATCATTGGCGACGCGCACTGGGGAGCCCCGTGCGATCATACGTTTTTGCAGTGTTTCGTGCTGTAATATGATTACTCGAAATTCCGCTAGCTAGAAACCTCTTGTAAATACTGGACCTCTCGGGAACTTAATTACCTACGCTACAGTTGGACAGGGAACATTCCCCTGAAATTCCAGGTTCCCAGCTTTCTCAGTTCCCCAGTTACCGAAATTGCAGCTAAAAAATTTCACGGGGCCGTGCGTAGCCACCACACATAACGGGGGGCTGAATTTGATAAATTCAAG